GTAGGGGTGCGAGCGGCCAAACTCGGTGGCGATCGGAGAGAGCAGCGCCTGCTGCAGCTGCGAGGGGGCGCTCAGCGCGTACGGCTGCTGCTGCTGCTGCTCGTGCAGGCTCTGCAGGTGCTGCTGCTGCTGCTGTTGCAGCAGGTGCTGCTGGTGCTGCTGTTGCTGAAGCAGCTGCTGCTGCTGCTGTTGCAGAAGGTGCTGCGCCTGCTGCTGCTGCTGCAGAAGGTGCTGCTGCTGCTGTTGCTGCTGCAGCAGGTGCTGCTGCTGCTGTTGTTGTTGAAGCAGCTGTTGCTGCTGCTGCTGTTGCTGCTGCTGCTGCAGCATCAGCTGATGGTTCTGGAGGAGAACCTCTTTCTGGAGAGCGAACGACTGAGCGAAGGCGGACGGCTGCGGGACCGGGGGGACAGCCTGCTGCTGCTGCTGCTGTTGTTGCTGCTGCTGTTGCTGTTGTTGTTGAACGGCTCGCGAGGTGGTGGGAGGGCTGGGAGGGAAGCTGTAGAGGTGAGGGTGGAGGTGAGTCTGATCGTAACTCAAGGGAGAAAACCTTTGGATTGGGCGACTGGGGGAGACACATACACAGACACACACACACAGACAGAAAGACACACACACAGACACAGAGACAGACACACACACACACAGACACCCGCGTGTGTTATTGAGACGTTACCCAACAGACACAACTCAGACCCAGGGATCTGTGTGTGTGTGTGTGCGTGTCCGTCACGACCATTGTGAAGCTACTGAGATGAGGGAGGGAGACACCCAAACACAGGGCGAGAATCTACAGCGCTGGGTCACAGCAGCTGCCATGTGCAGCAGTGACGGTGTAGTTGCCACCGTCACCACCGTCACCACCGTCACCACCGTCACCACCGTCACCACCGTCACCACCGTCACCACCGTCACCACCGTCACCACCGTCACCACCGTCACCACCGTCACCACCGTCACCACCGTCACCACCGTCACCACCGTCACCACCGTCACCACCGTCACCACCGTCACCACCACCGAGACCCCGGGCATCTCAGCAGTGCTGGGCTCGCGGTGTCGGACACGGCCAAGATGAAGCCGTCTCACCTGCGAGCCTCTGCACTGTCAGCACTCAGCTGCTTCAACAGCGGCTTGTGCTGCTGCTGCTGCTGTTGCTGTTGTTGCTGTGGCAGCTGTAGTGACGCCACCGTTGCGGCCGGGACGGATGTCACCTGCTGCAGAGGCCCAGGGTATGCTGGGAAAAATGAACAAGGTGTGGGGGGGAGGGGGGTGCGACAAGTGTTTCAAGGGAGCCTCGCAAATTCCTGCGGCGACCGGGAATGGCGACCGGTCCTGTAACCGTCAGAGCCAACGGCCAATCACAGGCACTCGGAAGTGACGTCACCGGAACGCGACGCCGCCGCCGCCCCGCCCAGCCCGCCCAGCCCGCCCAGCCCGCGACCCTCCCCACGCGGTGCTCGTGTCGGCAAGCCCTGCCGGGGGTCCCGGCACGAGCCGAGCGGTTCCCTGCCGGCTCGTTGGCGAGCCGAGCCGGAACCAAACGGGGCAACGCCGCCGGGGGTTGAGCGACGTCTCCGCATGCGGCTAGGGGCCAGGGGGGGGGGAAGGGGGGAGGGGGGGCACGGCCCCCCGCCACTCGGTCGTGCCGGTGGGGAAGGGGAGACGGAGAGGAGAGGGAGGGGACCCCCCCCCCCGCCCACACTCACTCTGCGGCTGCATGAGCGGCGCGTGCGCCGACGGGGGGCTGCCCCCCGTGCCGCCCGACGTGAAGGGTGGGGGGCTCGAGGGCTGAGCCGTGTGCAGCTTCAATCTGGTCGCACACACACGCGCACGCACACACACACGCACACACACGTGTAAAGGTGCGCACACACACGCATGCGCGCACACGTGTACACACTGCACACACTGCACACACACGCACGCATGCACACATTCCCCATATAGCCTGCAACAGACCGTTGAGGCTAAGTGCTGTTAGCGAGCGGCACCTATGAAGGCCGGCATGGCACACGAGGGGGTGGGTGGCCAGCACCACTCCCGGCCGCCTTTGTCTCCCGAGTGACGATGTTTTACGCACCGCTGCACCAAATACTCATTTAAGGCCGAGTCGACCATGGGGAGACCCTGGAAGGGGTTAAGATATTCTTCACCGATGTTGGCCGTGAGCGGGAATCAAACTCGGGTGGCCAGGTTCCTAGGCTGCGCCCTAACCACTGTGCCACCATTCTCCACAACCACGTGCGCACACACACACCTGTGTTGACCCTTCTCTCTCTTCGTGTCTCCCTTCTCCACTCCCCGTGTCTCCCCCCTCTCTCCCCGTGTCTCCCTTCTCCACTCCCCGTGTCTCCCCCCTCTCTCCCAGTCTCCCCCCTCTCTCCCCGTGTCTCCCCCCCTCTCTCCCCGTGTCTCCCCCCCTCTCTCCCCGTGTCTCCCTTCTCCACTCCCCGTGTCTCCCCCCCTCTCTCTCCGTGTCTCCCTTCTGCACTCCCAGTGTCTCCCCCCCTCTCTCCCCGTGTCTCCCTTCTCCACTCCCCGTGTCTCCCTTCTCCACTCCCCGTGTCTCCCCCCCACTCTCCCAGTGTCTCCCCCGCTCTCTCCCCCCCCTCTCTCCCCGTGTCTCCCTTCTCCACTTCCAGTGTCTCCCCCCGTCTCTCCCCCCGTCTCTCCCCGCGTCTCTCCCCGCGTCTCTCCCCGCGTCTCTCCCCGCGTCTCTCCCCGCGTCTCTCCCCGTGTCTCTCCCCGTGTCTCTCCCCGTGCGTCTCCCCGTGCGCCGAGTACCTCTGCAGCTGGTGAGAGAGGACCGCGGGAACCTCGGGGCCCAGAGCCCCTCCCCCGGCGGGGGACACGGTGATCGGGGGGGGAGGGGCCGGCGGGGGACTCGCCTGGGGGGATCCACAATACTCCTGCCGGGGGACACGGGGACGCGGGGACGCGGGGACACGGGGACACGGGGAGCGTGAGACACGGGGACACGGGGACACGGGGAGCGTGAGACACGGGGAGTGAGAGACACGGGGACACGGGGAGTGCGAGACACGGGGACACAGGGAGTGCGAGACACGGGGACACGGGGAGAGAGACACGGGGACAAGGGGACACGGGGAGCGTGGGACACGGGGACACGGGGAGAGAGACACGGGGACACGGGGAGTGCGAGACATGGGGAGTGAGAGACACGGGGAGTGAGAGACACGGGGAGTGAGAGACACGGGGAGTGAGAGACACGGGGACACGGGGAGCGTGAGACACGGGGACATGGGGACACGGGGAGAGTGAGACACGGGGAGTGTGAGACACGGGGAGAGTGAAACACGGGGACACGGGGAGAGTGAGACACGGGGAGAGTGAGACACGGGGAGTGTGAGACACGGGGAGTGTGAGACACGGGAGAGTGAGACACGGGGACACGGAGAGAGTGAGACACGGGGACACGGGGACACGGGGAGCGCGAGGCAATGAGGCAATGAGGCAATGAGGCACGGGGACGCGGGGTCATGGAGATGGGGTCAGGGGAGACGTGTCGAGTCAGAGACACTGGAGCGTGGGGAGGGAGGGAGGGAGAGAGACATGGGGAGAGAGACAGTGCCACGGGGTCACACAGCACCGTTGCGTTTTAGTCGTCCGAGCGCGTGCGGCATCCACAAGAGGCTTTCGCTCCGTTAGAGAGCGACTCAAATATTAAGTGTCGTGAAACCCGCCACCACGCTTAGATTTTAACTCGATCTAACCCGATTTAAAGCTTTCGTGACTGCAGGGATTCATCTTCTTGGTTCTTTCGGTAAAGTCACGTAGAAGGGAAGTAATAAAAAAAACATAATAAAATAATTATTTTATTATGTTGAGTTTTTATTATTTTATTATTTTTATTATTTTATTACTTCCCTTCTACGTGACTTTACGAAAGAACCAAGAAGATCGATCTAACCCGCCCAAGAAAAAGAAAAAAACCCTCTATAGCAGACATGGGTCTCGGAGAGGCGACTTCACTCCGTCGTGCGAGTGGGGGGCGCATCGGGAGAGCGTTTGTACGACGATTGCGGCGCGGTCGAAGACAACACGGGCACACATTCACCACTCACAACAGCTGTTGTTGTGGGCTTACTCTCCAACACACCGGTGTGGTGTCGCACTAGTAACTAGTCATTAATTGGCACGTGTTGTTTACATGACAAACCTTACCAATTGTTGGGTGGTGGGTTTAACGACGCCACGTTTACGAGATCGAACCCAAAATACCTCCATTGTGAACAAAACCAAATGATAAAATAACACTGGTCAACAACAAAAAAACTTTTTTCTGGCCTGGACTTTTGGAGCTGTTCTACACTAATTTCAGGGTGCCGATTCCAAATCTGATCTCAGATTTGCTCTATCACATCTCATTTTTATGCTATCGGCATACCCCATTTTCATTGATTTTACCCGAAATTAACTCTGTCGCTTATGATTGCAAGTTGTTGCGAGTCAGTGACTGCTTTAGTGTTAACATATGGTGCTGTGTTTTTAGGATAGTGTGTTTATAATATAATTTTATGTAGATATCCACATTAATTTAATATTTTTTTTCCGCAGTTTTTATTGAAAATGCAATATTTGATATCTCAAAAACCTGATGCGAGACAAAAACTGATGCCAGATTTGGAATCAGCACCCCAAAATTACCTTAAAACCGTTGGAATACCTTATGCCAGAAAAAGTGTGTTGACCAGTGTAATAAAACGTTCATCCAGGCCGCTTGACGCTGGAGCGACAGACGTTGACCATGACCGAGTGTGCGTGACCGCTCTCATCGGCCGTGTTACGGTGCTACGTGTCGAGGGCGCCACGCCGCGCGAGCCAGAGGTCGCAAACGCGTTTTGATTCCGCACCCGTACCCGGCCGCACCAGGGTCGCACACGGGTACCCGTACCCATACCCTACCCGATACCCGGCTACCCGTACCCGGCCGGGTATCGGGTAGGGTACCTGATTGCGACCTCTGGGATGAAGCCATGTTGCAGGCGCGGGTGGGTTGATTCTAGGAACTTGGAATGTGAGAAGAGACGAGAAGTTGGGAAATGAGTGACAAATGGCGACTCACCAGCGACTCACGGCCTACCCGTACCCGGCCGCACCAGGGTACGGGTAGCCGGGTATCGGGTATCGGGTCCCCGGTTGCGACCTCTGACGTGAGCCCCCCCCCACGCGCGAGCCCCCCCCCCCCCCGCGTGAGCCCCCCCGCGTCACCTGGAGGTGGTGGAACAGCTTGTGCTGGTGCTGAGCCTCCACGAGGCTGCGCTCGTCCATGGGCGTGCAGTACCTCTGCTGCAAGCTGGTGGCACTCCTACGGAGAATCGTACAATATAAAAAAATACTTTTAAAAAAATCACGCTTTAATGAGATGTACTGTCCGAGCTGCCCCTCCCCCTGCCCCCTCCCCCCATCGCCCCTCCCCTCCTTACACATCCCCCCGCCCCTGGGCGTGGCTCCCCGAGGCTTGCCGTGACGTAAGGGGACCACGTGGTGATTCACAGCCAACGCGAGTTGAGCGTCGGCAATTAGAGCCGTAAACGTGGACAGTTAGAGCCGTAAAAAAGATAGTTTAAAAATATATTTGTTTAATTTTCAATGATAGAATATAGTATTGTCATCAGTATGACACAGCTATACCAAGTTTGCAGTCGATACGACATTGGGAAGACGGTTAAAATTGAGTTACGAAATTTGAGGATACAACAGACAGCGAGTTAAATAAAAGCGTGTAAAAAAGGCAAAGGTCGCCCGCGTAGCCTTTAAAGGCCGCTGGGGCAAGTGTCGTCATCGGGCACGGCGCACGAGGGGGCGGGGGTGGGCCAACGCCGCGCCGGTTCAGATAATCGTCGTTGGCCGCGAGCGGGAATCGAACCCGGGTCGCCGGGTTCGTAGCGCAGCGCGGCTCACCGCCACACCACCCGCTCCCAACAATGCACCCCCACACGCCAAATAACCCAATCACCCGTCCACCCAGCTGCACAAGAACGCGACCGCCCCCCGTGGGCCCCCCGTGGGCCCCCCGCGCTCACCGTCCCCCGCCCCCCCCCACCTGCTGCAGCTGCTTGATGCTGCTGTTGAGCGTGGATCCGCACGAGTGCTGCATCTGCGAGCGGAAGGCCTGCAGGCTGGCGGCGCCGTCGGAGAGGCGGCGCACCGGGGAGTAGCGCTCGGACGGGATGCAGAGTGTGTTCGTCTCCTTGTAGCTGGGGCGACGACATCACCATCATCATCAACATCACCACCATCATCATCATCATCAACATCATTATCAACAACATCATCATCAACAACATCACGGGGGAGTAGCGCTCGGACGGGATGCACAGCATGTTCGTCTCCTTGTAGCTGGGGCGACGACATCACCACCATCACCATCATCATCACCATCATCACCATCATCACCATCACGGGGGAGTAGCGCTCGGACGGGATGCACAGCGTGTTCGTCTCCTTGTAGCTGGGGCGACGACATCACCAGCAACATCAACATCATCACCCTCACCATCAACATCAATAACATCACCATCATCAACATCACCACCATCAACATCATCATCATCAACACCATCAACACCATCAACACCATCATCAACATCATCAACATCATCAACATCACCATCAACATCATCATCACCATCATTATTGTCGTCAATAACATCAACCATAATACAAAAATACGACAGCTGTGCAAAGTTTCGGAAAGGTAATCAAATCACTGAAATAAATGTACAAATAAAAAACACTTTTCTTATAAAAAAAATTACACACTTTAGTTTACTCTACCGGGTAAGGCCCACTGAGCCGTACAGCGGCCTGGCAATCACAAACGATAGCTCAACAAAGTGGCTCATCACCATCATCACCATCATCATGCGGAAACCGATAGCAGCCCAATACTCGAAACGCGTGGCGATGATGTTGATTCTAAACGCGGAGGGAAAACCCGGAGGGAACGCGGAAAAAATTCCCCGCGACCACGGGAAGCGAGAAACACCGCAAACTCCAAATACACAGCAGGCATTGACCTCCTGCATACCAGGTGAGGTAGTCAACATCTCCTAGCCACCGCAGCGTGCCCCTTAAGTCCAACAACAAGCTTGGGATGAGAAATATTCATAATCAACGTTTTTGGGTTTAGATCGCGTTATTTATAAATGTGTCGTAACCCTCCACCACCCGACACGGCCAATCAGTAAAAAAGTGTCACGTTGACAAAAGACAAATAGTTCACTGCGTGAAACCACAACATTTACAATTTTTGAGTACGACGTTTCGCTGGTAATTGCATCCAGCATCATCGGGCAATTCGCCAGAATGTTGTGGTTTCACGCTTCAACACACCGGTGGGCTAAAGCAGTGAACTATTTGTCTTTTGTCAACGTGACACATTTTTACTGAGTGGCCATGTCGGGTGGTGGAGGGTTACGACACATTTATAAATAACGCGATCTAAACCCAAAAACGTTGATTATGAATCATATTGGTCGCGAAAGCCTCACACGTGTCAAAATGAGAAATACTCTTAGGTTTTTTCGGTAAAGTCATGTAGGGAAAAATAACGAATAAAAATCATAGAACTAATAATAATAAAAGCTTCAAATCTAGAACTTGGGATGAGACTGTCAAGAACGTGGCTCTCCCCCCTCCTCCCCCTCCTCCCCCCCCCTCCTCCTCCTCCTCCCCCCCCCCCGCTCACCGTGAGTGCTGCTGTTGCTGCAGCTGCTGCTCAGGGGACAGCAGCTGAGAGCTGCGCCGCCCGCCCTTGATGGGCTGCTGCGCCAGCTGCCGCTGCAGGTCGGCGGAGACCTCTGCCGCGGGGTTGGCGAGCGCCAGCGTGTGCCGCTTGTTGCTGCCTCGTGCCGCCAGGTACCTGGGCGGGAGAGCGGGCGGGAGAGCGTCACGCGAGAAGCGCGCGCCCACAGCCGAGCAAACTTGGGCGCGCCGACCGAACCGCGGCGACTAGCGCCACTACACACTGCAGGGCACGACACGCATTCTTGCTCGCTCACCCAACCACTCGCTCAGCCACTCAACCACACATCCACTCGCTCAGCCACTCAACCACACACCCAACCACACATCCACTCGCTCAGCCACTCAACCACACACCCAACCACACATCCACTCGCTCAGCCACTCAACCACACACCCAACCACACATCCACTCGCTCAGCCACTCAACCACACACCCAACCACACATCCACTCGCCAATCCGTACAGCCAACGGGACACCCAACCGCACTGCCACTCAACGACACACCCAACCACACACACCCAACCACACACCCACTTACCCAGCCATACACCCACTTACCCAACCACACACCCAACCGCACTGCCACTCAACCACACACACACACACACACCCCCATACCCAACCACACAGCCACTCACCCAACCACACACACACTCACCCAACCGCACAGCCAACCGGACACCCAACCGCACAGCCACTCGCTCAGCCACTCAACCACATACACACTCACCCAACCACACACACACACCCAACCACACAGCCACTCACCCAACCACACACACAACCACACTCTGCAGGTCACCTCACTCCGTTACCACCACCATCATTATCACCACCATCACCACCACCAGCTTCTTCTCCCCCAAGTCCTACAATAGTAACGTTGCTCTCAATGAACATGCGCTACTCTCTCTGCATGACAGCGTCGACAGTGGTGCTGTTTGTTGCTGCCCGCTAACCATTCGGGCCCGTTGGTCCCCTGTGCTCACCAACCGCGTTTATTAAACACGCACAAAGACAAAGCACCACCGTCTAGACTTAACAGACTGGTGGGGCAAGTGCTGTTAGCGAGGAGCAGCTATGAAGGCCGGCACGGACACTCCCGCTAAGTCTGCCCTGCAGTGCATCGTGGGTGCGCTACCCACAATGCACTGGCTTCCAACACGTCATGTTGCCCCTGACGCTCACAACCCAGTGGGGGTGGGTGGGTGTCTGGGTCGTGGGTGATGGGGGGGGGTCTGGGTGGTGGGTGATGGGTGATGGGGGGGGGGGGTCTGGGTGGTGGGTGATGGGTGATGGGGGGGGGTCTGGGTGGGGGGGTCTGGGTGGTGGGTGATGGGTGGGGGTCTGGGTTGGAGTCTGGGTCGTGGGTGGTGGGTGAGGGGGGTGGGAGTCTGGGTCGTGGGTGGGAGGGTTGCCCAATATTTGCCGCCGTTATTGCAATCGGCTGTCCTCAAACAGAGGCGCGCGTTTGAAGAGACTCGGCTGGGGCGCTGCCACCGCACGGCCCTGCCAAGGAACAGGGGGCGGGGCAAGTTGCCCACGCAGCAGCAGACGACGAGTTTGCAGGCGCGGTGCGCCAAACCATCGCGCGCCACGCCGGCTACCGGCAAGCGCCGCTCACCACGGCGGCGGCGGCGGCATCACCACGGGCGGGGATCGTGCCGGGCAAGGTGCACTTGGAAGCACAAAGACAGCCCCCCACCTCCTATACATCCAATAGACTTTAGGGGCACTCGCTCACACTCGATAGGTGTACGCACGCACAGCGCTACACACGCACACGCGCACACACACCCCCCCCGCGTGCCCCCCCACCCCCCGTGTGCCCCCCCCCCGTGTGCCCCCACCTCTGTGCGGCCTCCTGGTCAGGCTCCTCGTCAGACGTCTCCTCATCCTCCTCCGGCGTGATCACCGACACGCCGCACTGGGGGTCACGGGTTGGGGGGGGGTCACGGAGGGGTCACGGCATGTCGGATAAAAGTTCACAGACCGAGAGGTCAACATCGACGCCGCCAAACTCAAGGGGATCGTCAACACCGCCGTAGCCTGAGACGGAGGGGATTCGGACAACGGCCCTCGCCGATGGCAGAGCGAGAGGGGGGGCAGAGAGAGAGACGGAGCGGGTGATGGGCGTCGTGCACGGCACGCGACGACTACGACGACGATGTAACTAGCGGCACGGCTGTCGTCCTAGTAACCTGCGGGGGCCTCGCCCCCAACCGCAGTCAGCGGCCGTGCCGAGAGCCGGGCGGGCCGAGAGCCGGGGGAGCCGAGAGCCGGGCGGGCCGAGAGCCAGGGGAGCCGAGAGCCGGGCGGGCCGAGAGCCGGGGGAGCCGAGTTGGATTCCCGCTCGCGCCCAACGGCACCGGGCCTCTCCCCCGCCAGGCCTGCTCGGCCTCGAGCGAGCACCGGCGCGTGTCGACGTCACCACGCGGATTGGGGGGGGGGGGGGGGGGGGCGGCACCTCGGTGCTCTGCGCTCGTACCAGCGGGGAGGGAGAGGGCCCGCGCGGGTTGGCCTGGCTCTGCGCCACCAGGCGCAGCTTCAGCAGCTGCTGCGCCTGCATGTGGATGTTGGCGCCGCCGTCGGACGCCCGCCGGCCCAGGCTGGCGCCGTCCAGAGCCTGCAGCACGGGGGGCTGCAGCAGGGACTGCTCCTGGGGGGGGGGGCGGTGCACGGGGGCGGAGGTGGCGCGGTGAGCGTCAGCGTCGCCGGTGTGGTGACGGAGATTGTCACTCTCACCACACTCACCCCACCCCTCACCACACTCACCCCGCCCCTCACCACACTCACCCCGCCCCTCACCACACACACCCCGCCCCTCACCACACTAACCCCGCCCCTCAGCGCGCTCACCTTGTACTCGAGCGGGGTGTTGTGTGGCGACAGCGAGGGCAGCAAGGGCAGCGCGGCCCCCTCCCCGCCGCCCCCCACGCCCAGGAAGGGCTGCGGGGGCTGCAGCGTGCGCCCCCCGGTGCCCAGGCCCCCCCCCACGCCGCCACCGCCAACCCCGACCCCCCCGGGCCCCCCGTGCAGCTTCTGCAGCTCGTCCCCCCCTCCTCCCTCCGCCCTGCACAGAACACCGGGGGGGGGGGGGTCAGTGGGTCCTCTTGTGTACCCCCCCCAACCCCACCGTGTCCCACCCACCCACCCACGTGTGCACCCCCCACCCACGTGTGTCCCCCCCCACCCACCCACCCACCCACGTGTGCCCCACCCACCCACCCACGTGTGCCCCCCCACCCACCCACCCACGTGTGCCCCACCCACCCACCCACGTGTGCCCCCCCACCCACCCACCCACGTGTGCCCCCCCCACCCACCCACCCACCACCCACCACCCACGTGTGCCCCCCCCACCCACCCACCCACCCACCCACGTGTGCCCCCCCCACCCACCCACCCACGTGTGCCCCCCCACCCACCCACATGTGCCCCCCTACCCACCCACGTGTCCCCCCCACCCACCCACCCACGTGTCCCCCCCCCCACGTGTCCCCCCCCCCCACGTACCTGGGCTCGGCCACCCCCACCGTGTGTCTGCGCATGGACAGGTATCTGGCGAGCGCCTCTGGCGACGGCTCGTCGCCCTCGTCGCTGTCGAAGCTCACGCCGCCCTCCATCTGCGTCGCCACAAACACGCCGCAGAGCCACAAACACGCGTCGCACCGACACGCGTCGCACCGACACGCGTCGCACGTATCGGATGGGTGGGCGAGTGGGGTGGTGGGCTAGTGGGTGGATGGGTGGGTGACTGAGTGTGTGTGAGCGTAGGTTGGTGGGTGAGTGAGTGGGTGAGCGAGTGTGTGGCCTGGCAGAAGCGTCGTGGTGACGTCACCGCCACTTAGTGGCGAATGGCGGTTGTTGTTGTTGTGTTGGTTGGTGGGTGGGTGAGGGTGGGTGAAAGGGTGAGCGAGAGCGTAATTGAGAAGGTGAGTGTGTGCGTGCGGTTGGTGGGTGCTGGGGTTGGCGAGTGAGAGCGTGAGTGAGAGAGTGAGTGAGAGCGTGAGTGAGAGGGCGAACGAGTGGGCGAGTGAGAGCGTGAGTGAGAGGGTGAGTGAGGGGTGAGTGAGAGGGTGAGTGAGAGGGTGAGTGAGAGGGCGAGTGAGAGGCGAGCGAGTGGGTGAGTGAGAGGGTGAGTGAGAGGGCGAGCGAGTGGCTGAGTGAGAGGGTGAGCGAATGGGAGGGGGAGCGACCGGGTGAGCGAGAGGGTGAGTGAGAGGCCGAGTGAGTGGCTGAGTGAGAGGGTGAGCGAGTGGGTGAGTGAGAGGGTGAGCGAGAGGGCGAGCGAGTGAGTGGGTGAGCGAGCGGTCGAGCGAGCGGGTGAGCGAGCGAGCGCGCTCACCCCGTTGGTGGCCTGCACGGCCCCCACTTGCACAATCTGGTTGTCGGGGTTGATGAGCTGCAGCTGCGGCACGGTGAGCATGAGGGGGCTGCCCCCCCTCTCCACGCACGGCTGGGGGGGCTGCGGGGGTGGCTGCTGCCCCCCCGGGGGGGGGGCCGCGGGGCGAGCGCCTCCGGGGATGGGAGCGGTGACCTGCGCGCGTCACACCGAGACAGAAGAAGAAGATCCCCCGGGGGGCCTTGACAGCCCGTCTTGGGGGCGAGGTGTCGTCGGGGAGCAGCACCGACACGCAGGCCGGAAGGGCCTTCGTCTCCCCAGTGGCGGTGTGGACGACACACACCGCACGGGGTACTCGGGGAGGAGGGGCCCAGCACCGGCTCAGATAACCGTGACGTCACCGGTGCTGGTGGCCGTGAGCGGGAATCGAACCTCGGGTCGCCGGGTTCGTAGCGCAGCGCTAACCGCTACGCCACCGCTCGTCACACACACACAGACACACGTACGTACGCACACAGGTTTAGGCACATCCACAAGGGATATAGAAATAGGTGCACGGACACACACCACCCCCCTAACCTCCCCCAACTCTCACCATCCCCACCCCCCCCCTCCCCTCCCCCGCTGTACCCCCCCCCCCACCCCCCTCGGCTGCCCCCGTGGCGGCACCTGTGCGGCAGGCTGGTAGGGCCCCGGGCAGGGCTGGGCCCTCTTGAGCTTGTCGCTGCGCTTCATTTTGTCGCACAGCAGGTAGTAGATGGCGCTGTGGTGGTCGTACGACTGCGTCTGCAGCGACTGCACGCACGCGCACACAGGACAAGGATGCCCCCCCCCCCCCGTGGAGCCGTTGACAGGAGGATCGGTGGCAAACTCCGATCATACTCGCAGCAGCAGCGGCGGCGGCTTTCGGCCGAGCCGTCGAACAAAGACGGCGCCCACCGCATCGTCGTCGCGCGGCGCTTTCGGATGCGCTTCTGCGTCCGTCTGGAACGCGCTCTTCCTTCCGATATTAGCAAGCCGCTGGGGGGAGCTGCGATGCACTTGTAACATCACCATCATTGCTTTACAACGGCTTCTAGTCGCGTGTGAGCTTGACGTCCCCAACCCCTCCCCCGGCAGCTACTGATTAGCACGGTTGGCTACGTACCGCGGTGCGAGAGAAGTTTCCCCACACGCGCGCAGATAGAGAAGTTCACACACACACACAAGTTCCCCCACACACACACACACAAAGAAGCACCGTGCAGCAGCAGCAGCAGCAGCAACAGCAGCAGCAGCAACAGCAGCAGCAACAGCAGCAGCAACAGCAGCAGCAGCAGCAGCAGCAACAGCAGCAGCAGCAACAGCAATAGCAGCAGCAGCAACAGCAGCAGCAGCAGCAGCCGCAGCAGCAGCAGCAACAGCAGCAACAGCCGCAGCAACAGCAGCCGCAGCAGCAGCAACAGCAGCCGCAGCAGCAGCAGCAGCAGCAGCAGCAGCCGCAGCAGCAGCAGCAGCGGCAGCAGCAGCAGCAGCAGCGCAGCAGCAGCAGCAGCAGCAGCAGCGGCAGCAGCAGCAGCAGCAGCAACAGCAGCAGCGGCAGCCGCAGCAGCAGCAGCAACAGCAGCAGCAGCGGCAGCAGCAGCAGCAGCAGCAGGGTGGTGTTGCGGCACCCTGTTTGCGAGGAGCGCGAGGCGGCCCACCTGCACGGTGCGATCGCGGTCGATGTGCATGGAGGCCATCTGTGCGAGCACCTGCTCGTTCACCTCCTCCGCGTCCAGCTCCGTCTGCGCCTGCTGGCACTCCACCAGGAGCTGCGAGAGGGCACGAGGGGGGGGGGGGGGGGAGTGAGCACGCATGGAGAGGTGCGGCGTGGAGATCGTGGGAGCGAGCGAGCGCGTGACTCACTGCCTGACTGCACCAGCGTGTGCCTGCAAGCCGATGAGTGAGCGTGCGTATAGGTGAACATGCGCGCACGCGTGTGTGTGTGTGTGAGAGAGAGCGTGTGTGTGTGTGTGTGAGAGAAGGTGCGTGTGAGAGAAAACGTGTGTGCGAGAGAGCGTGTGTGTGTATGCCTCTGTGCACATGATTGCTGCTCACCTCAAAGGAGGAGTTGGAGACGCTGCTGCTGCTGAGACTGGAGCGTGCCACCAAGAGGTGGGGCCTTACCATCAGTCCCATCAAAACTAAGCACCTGCCTGGGTATTGTCCCATTGGACACTCCACCCCCACAACTCCCAATTGGTGATGGAGCAGTTGTGGAGAGAGTGGAGAGTTCCCCATACTTGGGCAGTGTGTTCATGAGTGGTTTCGGTGTGACAGCAGAGGTCTCACTGCGAATCAGTCCAGCGGCAATATCTTTTCATCGGTTGCGTAACGCTGTGTGGAAGCTACCTGGTCTATCACTCCGCAACGAAGCTTTGGGTCTTCTCGGTCAGTCATGCCCTCCCTTCTCTACGCTTGGACCTCTCTACTGGAACATCTGCGCCGGTTAAAAACATTCAGGCTGCACTGCCTACGATCCATCCTGGGTTTAACCAGGCTGGATTGTGTGAGGAGCTCACAAATCCTTGAAAAATCTAGACACATTCCCATTGGTGAGCTCCTCCGGCAGGCAAGGCTCCGTTGGCTGGGTCATGTAGCCCACATGCCCAGTCACCGCATGCCGAAACAATTTTTGTTTGGCCGCATAGAGGGGGGATAAACGGGCGCGGCACAGGCTGGAGCTAAAGCGGTACGGGAGAATGTGGAGCTGAGTGGACTTTCCGACGACTGGTACTAGCGGTGTCAAGATCAGCCTCTGTGGAGGAGGCTCGTGATGGACGCTACTGGGCAGTTGGAGGCAGTCGCCCTCCAACAACAACGGAGGGCGGAGGAACGACGCTCACAACAACGAGCGGAGACGCAGGGCGACTAAAATACAGCAAGTTGGCACAGTAGGGGGTACAGCTGGTGGATCAGCCAACCCACGGCACCTGGGTCTGTCCCGAGGGGAGCGGTAGTACCGCGGTTAGCGCGCTTGCCTACGAACCCGGCAACCCGAGTTCAATTCCCGCTCACGGCCAACACCGGTGACGATTATCTGAACCTGTTACGGGTCTCCCCTAGGTCGACTCAGCCTTTAATGTGTAAACATCTCCACCGGGGAGACAAAGGCGGCCGGGCGTGACGTTGGCCACCGACCCCCCACGTGTGCCTCAGCACTTGCCCCAACAGCCTGTGAAGGCTACACGGGGGATCTTTGTCTTTGCGCGAGTGTCCACGTACCCGATCGAACTCGGGGTCGGGGTCTCCGGACTTCATCCACTTGTGCCGGCAGGCCTGCTCCATGCTCAGCCTCTTGCTGGGCTCCAGCACCAACATGTGGCGGATCAGGTGCTCGCACTCTGCAGCACGGACCACCACCACCAGCACCACCACCACCACCACCAGCAGCACCACCACCACCACCACCAGCAGCAGCACCAGCACCAGCACCAGCAGCAGCAGCAGCAGCACCAGCACCAGCAGCAGCAGCCCGGTGGCACGCACAAGGATGGGGGACGGAAAGGAACGTCAGCGGAGCGCTCACGTGGCTGTGCGTGCGTGTAGCTGCGTGCGTGTGTGTGTAGCTGCGTGCGTGTGTAGCTGCGTGCGTGTGTAGCTGCGTGCGTGTAGCTGCGTGCGTGCGTGTGTAGCTGCGTGCGTGTGTAGCTGCGTGGGGAGCGATAGTGTAGCGGTTAGCGCGCTGCGCTATGAACCCAGTGATACGAGTTCGATTCCCGCTCACGGCAAACACCAGTGACGATAATCTGAACCGGTCCCGGGCCTCCCATAGGTCGACTCAGCCTCAAATGAGCACCTGGTGCGGTGTGTAAACATCGCCACTGGGGAGACAAAGGCGGTCGGGCGTGGTGCTGGCCACCGACACCCTCGTGTGCCGTTCCGGCCTTCATAGGTGCTCGCTAACAGCACTTGCCTCTACAGTCTGTTAAGGCTACATGGGGGAATCTTTGTTTTGTAGCTGCGTGCGTGTAGCTGCGTGCGTGTAGCTGCGTGCGTGTGTGTAGGCGTGTAGCTGCGTGCATGCGTGTAGCTGCGTGCGTGCGTGTAGCTGTGTGCGTGTAGCTGCGTGCGTGTAGCTGCGTGCGTGCGTGTAGGTGCGTGCGTGCGTGTAGGTGCGTGCGTGCGTGTAGCTGCGTGCGTGCGTGTAGCTGCGTGCGTGTGTGTAGCTGCGTGCGTGTGTGTAGCTGCGTGCATGCGTAACCGCGTGTGTAGCTGTGTGCGTGCGTATAGCTGTGTGCATGCGTAACCGCGTGTGTAGCTGCGTGCGTGTGTGTAGCTGCGTGCGTGCGTGTAGCTGCGTGCGTGCGTGTAGCTGCGTGCGTGCGTGTAGCTGCGTGCGTGCGTGTAGCTGCGTGCGTGTGTGTAGCTGCGTGCGTGTGTGTAGCTGTGTGCATGCGTAACCGCGTGTGTAGCTGTGTGCGTACCTGTGGACATGAAGAAGGGTATGCGGAACTTCCCGCTGAGGACACGAGCGCGCAGGTTCTGCAGCGTGCTCCCGTCAAAGGGCAGCGCTCCGCACACCAGCACGTACAGCACCACGCCCAGGGACTACGCACACACAAAGGTCCCCCGTGTAGCCTCGACAGACTGCTTGGGGCAAGTGCTGCTAGCGCAGCGCGCCGACCGCTGCGCCACCGCTCCCCCAGCAGCACGCGCACTCACTCAGACACACGCTCATACATTCATACACACACACACTCACTGACCCCTCCACCACCCACCCACCCAACCACCCCACCACCACCCACCCACCACCCCACCACCACCCACCCACCACCCCACCACCACCCACCCACCACCCACCAGCCCACCACCACCCACCCACCAGCCCACCACCACCCACCCACCAGCCCACCACCACCCACCCACCACCCCACCACCACCCACCCACCACCCCACCACCACCCACCCACCCACCACCCACCCACCACCCCACCACCACCCCACCACCACCCCACCACCACCCACCCACCACCCCTCCACCACCCACCCACCACCCCTCCACCACCCACCCACCACCCCTCCACCACCCACCCACCACCCCTCCACCACCCCTCCACCACCCCACCACCACCCACCCACCACCCACTCACCCCTCCACCACCCACTCACCCACTCACCCACCCCTCCACCACCCACTCACCCACCCACCCACCCCTCCACCACCCACTCACCACCCACCCACTCACCCACCCCTCCACCACCCCTCCACCACCCCTCCACCACCCACCTACCACCCCTCCACCACCCACTCACCCACCACCCACTCACCCACTCACCCACCCCCCACTCACCCACCCCTCCACCACCCACTCACCCACCCACCCCTCCACCACCCACTCACCCACCACCCACTCACCCACCCCCCACTCACCCACCACCCACTCACCCACCCCTCCACCACCCACTCACCCACCCACCCCTCCACCACCCACTCACCCACCCCTCTACCACCGTCACTCACCCACCCCTCTACCACCCACTCACCCACCCACCCACTCACCCACCCCTCCACCACCCCTCCACCACCCCACCACCACCCACCCACCACCCCACCACCACCCCACCACCACCCACCCACCACCCCTCTACCACCCACTCACCCCTCCACCACCCACTCACCCACCACCCACTCACCCACTCACCCACCACCCACCCCCACTCACCCACCCCCCACTCACCCACCCCTCCACCACCCACTCACCCACCCACCCCTCCACCACCCACTCACCCACCCACCCCTCCACCACCCACTCACCCACCCCTCCACCACCCACTCACCCACCCACCCCTCCACCACCCACCCACCCACCCCTCCACCACCCACCCACCCACCCCTCCACCACCCACTCACCCCTCCACCACCCACCCCTCCACCACCCCTCCACCACCCTCCACCACTCACCCAGATGTCCACCTTGGGTCCCTCGTACTCCTTGCCCTCGAAGAGTTCGGGCGCTGCGTACGGGGGGCTGCCGCACCACGTCTTGAGCAGCTGGCCCGGCGTGAAGCGGTTGCTGAAGCCAAAATCTACTCGCGCACACCACAGACGCAGGTCCCCCGTGTAGCCTTCGCAACGCTGCCGGGGCAAGTGCCGCGGGGGAGTCGTGGCACACACCAAGGCCGGCACCGCGGCACACGAGGGGGTGGGGTGGCGGGCACCACGCCCGGACGCCTTTGTCTCCCCGGTGGCGATGTTAAACGCACCGGTCGCTCGTTCGAGTCGACCTAGAGGAGGCCCGGGACCGGTACAGATAATCTGCACCGGTGTTGGCCGCGAGCGAAGATGCTGGGTTCCTCACGTGGTGCGCTAACCGCTGCACCACCACTCCCCACACAGACAACAACAACAGCCATTCGCCACTAAGTGGCAGTGACGTCACCACGACGCTTGTGCCAGGCCATGTGCACCTTGAGGCTACCACGTGAAGTGTTAAACGCCCGCTGGCAGGAGGTCACGGGGCAGACACACACACTCACTCACTCCCTCACACTCCCACACACTCTCACTCCCACCCACACACACTCCCACACACTCACTCACTCACACACACACTCACTCACTCACCCCCACACACACTCACTCACTCACACACTCACTCACTCACCCACCCCCACACTCACACACTCCCACACACACTCACTCCCACTCACTCACTCACACACACTCCCACACACACTCACTCACTCACTCCCACACACACTCACTCACTCACCCACCCCCACACTCACTCACTCACCCACCCCCACACTCACACACTCCCACACACACTCACTCCCACTCACTCACTCACACACACACTCACTCACCCACCCCCACACTCACCCACCCCCACATTCACCCACCCCCACACACACTCACTCCCACTCCCACACACACTCACTCACCCACCCCCACACTCACCCACCCCCACACTCACCCACCCCCACACACACTCACTCCCACTCCCACACACACACTCACTCACTCACCCACCCCCAAACACACTCACTCCCACTCCCACACACTCCCACATGTCGCCCGTGCAGCCTTCGCCAGGCTGCTGCTGCTGCTGCTGCTGCTGCTGCTGCTGCTGCTGCTGCTGCTGCTGCTGCTGCTGCTGCTGCTGGGCGAAAGTGCATGTGAAGAGTGGCGGCACCGGCGGAGGTCGGCACGGCACACGAGGTGGAGGGGGTGTCACCCAACCCCAAAAACCGGCCGCCTTTGTCTCCCCACCGGGCGATGTTGACATTCCGCACCACGTGCTCACGAGCACCGAGCTCACGCACGCGCATCGCCGCGTGGCGATGACAGCACCCACGGGCGACGTTTCAGGCAAGGGCCCTTCCTCACAGCACCTCGTTTACGTGCCGTGAACAAGGGGGCATTGCCCTCTAGTGCACAGGCGAGGGCAGTGCAGGGTAACTGCGTCAGCTGCCCTCTAGTGCACAGGCAAGGGCAGTGCAGGGTAACTACATCGGCTGCCCTCTAGTGCACAGGCGAGGGCAGTGCAGAGTAACTACGACGGCTGCCCTCTAGTGCACAGGCAAGGGCAGTGCAGGGTAACTGCGTCAGCTGCCCTCTAGTGCACAGGCAAGGGCAGTGCAGGGTAACTACATCGGCTGCCCTCTAGTGCACAGGCAAGGGCAGCGCAGGGTAACTACATCGGCTGCCCTCTAGTGCACAGGCAAGGGCAGCGCAGGGTAACTACATCGGCTGCCCTCTAGTGCACAGGCAAGGGCAGCGCAGGGTAACTACGACGGCTGCCCTCTAGTGCACAGGCAAGGGCAGCGCAGGGTAACTACGACGGCTGCCCTCTAGTGCACAGGCAAGGGCAGCGCAGGGTAACTACATCGGCTGCCCTCTAGTGCACAGGCAAGGGCAGCGCAGGGTAACTACATCAGCTGCCCTCTAGTGCACAGGCAAGGGCAGTGCAGGGTAACTACGACGGCTGCCCTCTAGAGCACAGGCAAGGGCAGCGTAGGCAAGGGCAGCGCAGGCAAGGGCAGCGCAGGGCGCACAAGGGGGTGTTGGTGTGGAGCTCCCGTGTCACCCGGCGCGGGGGGCAGCGATGGGGGGAGGGAGCGAGGGGGGGGGGAGGAGCGGGGGGGGGGGAGCGAGAAGGGGCGGGGGGGTAGCGATGGGGGGGGAGAGAAGGGGAGCGAGAAGGGGGGGGAGCGGGGAGCGAGGGGGGGGGGAGCGATGTGGTGAGGAATGAGGGGGGGCGAGGTGGTGAGGGATGAGGGGGGCGTGATGGTGAGGAATGAGGGGGGGGGGGCGAGGTGGTGAGGGATGAGGGGGGGGGGGGCGAGGTGGTGAGGGATGAGGGGGGGGGCACAGGAAGCTGCTGACAATGCTGCGCACGTCGCCCTCACGCCCGGGAAGAGACAGGATGTGCACACGTGTGTGTGCGTGTGACGGTGTGTGCGTGTGTGTGCGTGCATGTTTGTGACGGTGTGTGCGTGTGCGTGCGTGTGGTGCGTGTGTGACGGTGTGTGCGTGTGTGACGGTGTGTGCGTGTGGTGCGTGTGTGACGGTGTGTGCGTGTGTGACGGTGTGTGCGTGCATGACGGGTGTGTGCGTGTGGTGCGTGTGTGACGGTGTGTGTGTGTGGTGTGTGCGTGTGGTGCGTGTGTGACGGTGTGTGCGTGCGTGACGGGTGTGTGCGTGTGCGTGCATGTTTGTGACGGTGCGTGCGTGTGTGTGCGTGTGGTTCATGTGTGACGGTGTGTGCGTGCATGACGGTTGTGTGCGTGTGGTTCGTGTGTGACGGTGTGTGCGTGTGTGTGCGTGTGGTGCGTGTGTGACGGTGTGTGCGTGTGCGTGCGTGTGGTGCGTGTGTGACGGTGTGTGCGTGCGTGAGTGTGTGTGCGTGTGTGACGGTGTGTGCGTGTGTGTGCGTGTGGTGCGTGTGTGACGGTGTGTGCGTGTGCGTGTGGTGCGTGTGTGACGGTGTGTGCGTGCGTGAGTGTGTGTGCGTGTGTGACGGTGTGTGCGTGTGTGCGTGTGGTGCGTGTGTGACGGTGTGTGGTGTGCGTGGGTGGTGGTGGGTGTGACGGTGTGTGCGTGCGTGAGTGTGTGTGCGTGTGTGTGCGTGTGGTGCGTGTGTGACGGTGTGTGCGTGTGCGTGCGTGTGTGACGGTGTGTGCGTGCGTGTGGTTCGTGTGTGACGGTGTGTGCGTGTGCGTGCGTGTGGTTCGTGTGTGACGGTGTGTGCGTGCGTGAGTGTGTGCGCGTGTGGTATGTGCGTGTGTGTGCGTGCGGTGCGTGTGTGCGTGACGGTGTGCGTGTGTGTGCGTGCGTGACGGTGTGTGCGCGTGTGCGTGGATGTGAATTTTGTGACGGGGTGTACAGGGGTGTACAGGGGTGTACAGGGGTGTACAGGGGTGTACAGGGGTGTACAGGGGTGTACAGGGGTGTGGCGTGTAGGTTTCAGCGTGCGTGCGTCACGGTGAATGTGGGGGTGTGTGTAGGGTGCAGTGTGTTATGGTTTGTGTGTGACGGTGTGTGTCAGTGTGTGTGACGGTGTGGGTGTGTGGTGTGTGTGTGTGGGTGCGTCAGTGTGTGTGGTGTGTCTGTGGGTGTGTGTGGTGTGTGGTGTGTGTGTGGTGTGTGTGTGGTGGTGTGTGGTGGTGTGTGTGTGGTGGTTTGTGGTGGTGTGTGGTGGTGTGTGTGGTGTGTGTGGTGTGTGGTGTGTGTCAGTGTGTAGAGTTCAGTGTGTGTGGTCTGTGTGTGTGGTCTGTGTGTGTGTGTGTGGTGATGAGGGCCTGGGTAGTCTTGTCAGCGAATGAGAAGACTGAATAAGTGAGAAACCAGTGATTGTGTACGATTGGGAAAGGGAACGAGTGAGCGATGCGGCAAGTCGGCGAGTGAGTGAGTGAGCGTGCAGGCGAGTACTTGAATCGATGGTAGCGTGTGTTAGCGTAGAGGCGTCGTGGGTAGCGCATCGCGCTACCAACCTAGCAAACCCGGGGGTTCGATTCCCACTCGCGGCCAACATCCGTGCCGACCATCGAGACCGGGCCTGGGCCTCCCCTAGGTCGACTGGGCCTTACGTCGGCGTCGGGGAGACAAAGGCGGCCGTGGGGCGGGGTTGCCGGCCAATCCGGCCCCACACTCGTAGGCGCCGCCCGCTCGCGGCACTTGCCCCAGCGGTGCCGCGAGGCTACACGGGGAGCTTTGTCTGCGCTGCACCGCGCTCCGCCCTTCCTGCCGCCGCGTGGCCCCCGGCGCATCCCACGGGACGCCGGAGACGGCACGGCCGCCACACAATGCCGCGACACCGCACCACCGCACCGCGACACTGCACCACCGCGGCACGGTTCACACCACCCCGTCGCGCGCCGTGCCGACCCTTCATTGGTGCTCGCGGACAGCACTTGTCTCGGCAGTGTGTTAAGAGGCTACGCCGGGGGATCTTTGTCTTTGTGTCTGTTGGCGTGTGCGAGCGAGTGTACGAGTGAGCGAGAGCACGAGTGAGCAAATGAACGTGCGAGTTGGCGATTGAGCAAGCGTATGAATGAGCATGGGAGTGAGCGAGCGAGCGATTGAGCGAGTGACCGAGCGTGTGAACGAGTGAATAAGTGTGGGAGCGAGTGATTGAGTGAGCGAGCATGTTAATGAGTGTGGGAGTGAGCTAGTGAGTGAGTGAGCGAGCGAGCGAATGAGCGCGGAAGTGAGCGAGCGCGTGCTTGTGTGAAGGAGTGTGGGAGTGAGCGAGCGCGTGCTTGTGGGAGTGAGCGAGTGAGTGAGCGAGTGAGTGAGCGAGGAAACAAGCAAGCACGAGTGAGCGAGGAAGCAAGGCTGTGAGTGAGCGAGTGATTGAGTGAGCGAGCGTACGAATGTGTGTGGGAGTGAGTGAGTGAGCGAGCGAGTGATTGAGTGAGCGAGCGTACGAATGTGTGTGGGAGTGAGTGAGTGAGCGAGCGAGTGATTGAGTGAGCGAGCGTATGGACGAGTGTGGGAGTGAGTGAGTGAGCGAGCAAGTGATTGAGTGAGCGTACGAATGAGTGTGTGAGTGAGCGAACATGTTAATGAGCGTGCGAGCGTGTGAGGGAGCGAGCGAGCGAGTGATTGAGTGTGCGTGTGAGTGAGCGAGCAAGGCTGTGAGGGAGCGAGCGATTGAGTGAGCGAACGTATGGACGAGTGTGGGAGCGTGTGAGTGAGCGAGCGAGGCCGACCGGCGATCTTGATGTTCAGGTTGTGGTCCAGCAGCAGGTTCTCGGCCTTGAGGTCACGGTGCACCACGCGGCGCGAGTGGCAGAAGTTGACCGCCGCCACAATCTGCTTGAACTTGCGCCGCGCGTCCTTCTCCGCCATCCTGCCGTGCGCCACCAGGTGGTCTGGGGCGGGCGGGCGGGACGAGACGTGGGACGGTGGAGGGAGAGGGGAGAAAATGAGTCGAGGGGAGACACGGGGAGGGGCGGTGCAATGTCTTCAGTGAGCGTGGGTGCAGAGCAGAGGTCGCAACCGGGTACCCGATACCCGTACCCTACCCGATACCCGATCCCTACCCGATACCCGGCTACCCGTACCCGGCCAGGTATGGGTACCCGTTTGCGACCCTGGTGCGGCCGGGTACGGGTAGACCGTGAGTCACTGGTGAGTCACCGTTTGTCACTCATTTCCCAACGTCTTGTCTCTTCTCACAATTCAACTTCCTAGAATCAACCCACCCGCGCCTGCAACATGGCTTCATCCCAGAGGTCGCAACCGGGTACCCGATACCCGTACCCTACCCGATACCCGGCCGGGTACGGGTAGGGTACGGGTACGGCCGGGTATGGGTACGGGTACCCGTTTGCGACCCTGGTGCGGCCGGGTACGGGTAAGGAATCAAAGCCCGTCTGCGACCTCTGGTGCAGAGGTGACGCAGGCCCACGTATTGGGTGTGCACAGCGGGTCCCCACGGCTCTGGGATTGAACCCAGGCACCGGCTCGGCCCTCACCGAAGATCTCCCCGCCGCTGGCGTACTCCGTCACCAGGTAGATCATCCTCTCCGTCTCCATCACCTGCGGGGGGAGGGCGGGGGGGGGGGGGGGGCACCGCACACACCGTGGAGCTTTACCGATCGACCCACGAGAGCAACAGAGACGGGCGCGGTGGCGACGTACGGTGGCGACGTACGGTGGCGCGGCGCGGGTTCAACGTAGAGCTCGCTCGCACGCCGCACCTCGGGTCTCACACGCGAGGTGGGGAAGGGGGGCGGGGCAGGGGGGGGGCGGGGCGGGGGGGTAGGAAGGGGGGGGAGGCGGGAGGGGAGGCAAGGGGGGGAGAAAGGGGGGGAAGGAGGTGGGGGGGGGGGGGGCGGGGGGGTAGGAAGGGGGGGAGGCGGGAGGGGAGGCAAGGGGGGGAGGGAGGCGGGGGGGGGGGGGGAGGCGGGAAGGGGGAGGCAGGGAGGGAGACGGGGGGGGCAGGCGGGGGGGGGGCGGCGTGTACCTGGTAGAGGCGCACGATGTGAGGGTGCTTGAGCATCTTCATGATTTGGACCTCGCGGAAGATCTTCTTGAGGTTCTCCTCGTCCAGCTGCGTCTTGTCCACGATCTTAATGGCCACCTGCACGCAGAGAGAGGGGGGGAGAGAGGGGGGGGGGGGGAGAAGGCCGCAGAGGAAGGTCAAGCGCTGCACCCTACGACCCGTACCGATGCAGCCCCTGCAGTCTCATCAGCACTGACAACCACAACCACCACCAACACCACCACCACCACAACCACCACCACCAACTCCACAACCACAACCACCACCAAGACCACAACCACCACAGCAGCAGCAGCCGCAGCAGCAGCATCCGCAGAAGCCGCAGCAGAAGCCGCAGCAGAAGCCGCAGCAGAAGCCGCAGCAGAAGCCGCAGCAGAAGCCGCAGCAGAAGCCGCAGCAGAAGCCGCAGCAGAAGCCGCAGCAGAAGCCGCAGCAGAAGCCGCAGCAGAAGCCGCAGCAGAAGCCGCAGCAGAAGCCGCAGCAGAAGCCGCAGCAGAAGCCGCAGCAGAAGCCGCAGCAGAAGCCGCAGCAGAAGCCGCAGCAGAAGCCGCAGCAGAAGCCGCAGCAGGCTGTAGGAACGCGAGCGCCAGATGCGCTAAATGATTCACGTGATTTTCTCCCAGCGTGGGCGCACAGCAAGCGTCAAGACGCTCTTCAGATACGCTCCGGTGGCCGTCTGGAACGCACCTCCTACTTTGTGACACTAGGAAGCCACTGGAGGTGCGCACTTTTAAATCATCATCTAAATCGACAAACTCATTCCCCTTTGGAACCGCTTTTTGTTGTTGCGTTTAGTTTGTTGTCCTTCCCCCGCACCTCCGATTAGCACGGTTGGCTACGTACGGCGCGAAAGAAATTCGGACAAACAAAGACCTGAACAGACCCTTGGGGCAAGTGCGGTTAGCGAGTAGCGCCTGTGCACGCGAGGGGGGTGGGTGGCCAGCACCATGCCCGGCCGCCTTTGTCTCCCTAGCGGTGACGAGTACACACCATACCCAGAGCACCACACGTCCACTCACAGACACAGGCGGTGCTAGCGGCAGCGACGGGGGCGGCTCGTGGGAGGGACGGGACACTCACGGTGGGAGACGCTCGCGGGGAAACCGGCAGTGCGATAGCGATGATCGCTTTCGCAGACATGCGACGACACCGTATCAGCGAACACGACTGTGCGACAACGGCCCATCGGATGACGTGTGTGTGTGTGTACGTCATCAGTTGTTCTTCAGGTACCGTCACGTTGACGTACGTGTGCGCGTACGTCATCGGAACGGAAATCCGAAGAAAATCCGAAGTAAAGCAACTTAAAATCAGGACGTATTTTCAGGCTGGAAGACGTAACCCCGAGGCTCACACAAGGCCACGCGTGTGTGGGACGTGTGTGTGGGACGTGTGTGTGGGACGTGTGTGTGGGACGTGTGTGTGGGACGTGTGTGTGGGACGTGTGTGTGGGACGCGTGTGAGGGGCAGATTTGGAGTGCCCGGTGGTCGTGCCGCTACACTTCTCTGCGGTGAGTAACAAAGCCTTTAAAATCAACGGCGCTGCAACTACGACGCCTCTCCGAAGGGAATGAACGCCGGGCGGCTTTGCGTGTTCACGAGAGAATCGGGACACCCGCCACCCTGCAACCTGCAGACGCCTCGGAACACGGGAAAGGATTAAAAATAAATAAAAGCCTTCCAAGTTTGAGCCACGCAAGCACCCGAGGTATGTCCCTTGCATACACCGATCAGGCCGTCTTCACAAGCGACTCAACAGGCCCACACTCTTCCCCAAATCCGTCACTCCACTAATTACTTAATGTATCCATCTTTTTGCTGCACGTTACATCAGCCACACTGCAGCGTGGGAGTGCGTGCGCAACGTACACTGAACTTGTTTCGCACCATAGCAGACTCGCACAGAGACCCACAGACTCACACAGAGACACACAGAGAGCCACAGACTCCCACAGAGACCACGCAGAGACCCACAAAGACCCCGCAGAGACCCACAGAGACCCCGCAGAGACCCACAGAGACCCTGCAGAGACCCACAGAGACCCTGCAGAGACCCACAGACTCACACAGAGACCCACAGACTCACACAGAGACCCATAGACAAATAATAATTTTAGGTTGAATCAACCCACTGATGCACAGAAAAGACACACACACTTGCACACAAAGACACTCACAGTCAGACTCACACACTCACTCAGACACAGGGACGATGTCCACCACATCATTGGCCCTAAACTGTAACCACACAACAGCCTTTGTCTCTCTCCTCCACCCCATCTCCCCTCCCCCTCTCAGAGCTGGCGTGAGGAGGAGAGTGCGTCACCGAGATCAATGCTGCCACGGCAACCGTCGCCATGGCGCCCGCTCCCTCCTCACTCCCTCACTCCCGCCCGCCCGCCACTTCTCAAGGCACGCTGGACCGCTCCTCCGTGCGGAGAGCGAACGGCAGCCGTGGGTGGGGGTTGTGAAGGAGGAGGTGGTGGTGGTGCTGATGATTAGTGGGGTGGTGGTGATTAGTGGAATGGTGGTGATGATTAGTGGTAGTTGTGACAATGGAGGCGATGGTGGTGCTTGTGGTAGCAATGGTGGCGTTGATTGGCATGGCGCAGAGGTCGCAACCGGGTACCCGTTACCCGTACCCTACCCGATACCCGGCTACCCGTACCCGGCCGGGTACGGGTAGGCCGTGAGTCACTGGTGAGTCACCGTTTGTCACTCATTTCCCAACGTCTTGTCTCTTCTCACAATTCAAGTTCCTAAAATCAACCCACCCGCGCCTGCAACATGGCTTCATCCCAGAGGTCGCAATCGGGTACCCGTACCCTACCCGATACCCGGCCGGGTAGCCGGGTATCGGGTAGGGTACGGGTACCCGTTTGCGACCCTGGTGCGGCCGGGTACGGGTAAGGAATCAAAACCCGTTTGCGACCTCTGGCGTGGCGGCAGTTGTGAGGGTATGGATGGTGGCGGCAATCGTGGGGTCACTCCACAGATGGACGAGGCCCCTGGTAAACGACGGGCCTCGTTCACGATTCACACTGAGAGGAAACCAGAACACCCCCCACGCCTCGCGCGAGGGTGCAACGTTCGATTCCCGTACGAATGGAAATGGATGGAGATCGCCCCACTTGCTGTACTGCCTTCTACTGGCGAGGCCGGGGTTACGGCTCCTCCCTGACGGAGCTGCACAGCCCACCTGCACATGATCCACCAATCCTGGCCCACACAGCGCTGACTTACAGGCCACACACCACCCATCAGCTAAATGGCGGAGCGGTCACGGCAATGGGGAAGGGAATGGTCATTTTTATTTTTACCAAATACAGTCGACACTCGAATGTCCGCGTGCGGTTCATCCGATTTGCGGATTTACCGCGCACCTGAGATTGACAAATTCATCACGTGTGGATTTTCCCTCGGGGCCCAAATTATTCATCTAACCGCAGTCATGCATCCTCATTCTTGGAAATATTTATCACAAGGACACTCGTGTCCCTTAAACCGAAAAAAAATGTTTCTCCAGTTCATCCGAAATGCACGCGATCGCCTCTACAGTACAGTAGTTGCAATATCATTACAAAAGTGGGCGGCGGAGTTTGATTGGCTGTGGTTCTGCCGCCATCCACTGAGTGGGCCGAGGTCTTCTGCTGGGCGGGACCCAGCAAAGTGAGACCATCGCCACGCACGCGTATCACCGATCCATCGGGGGTCCATCGCTCCCCATTCGTTGCAAATCGAAAGAGCAACAATCAAAACCGCCAACTGCGTTTCATTTCGAACGATGAATCCGATCGTTTGTTTTGCGAGGTTTTAATTTTTACGAAACTGTGAAATGGAAGCGTTGCGTCGTTTTAACTTTGGTTTTTGAGTTCCGCGGAAAATGGTTTTGTATTTTTGGATTATCGGCGATTTCGATTTATCCAGCGGCAGTCCTCCACGTCACGAGCGCGGAATAATTACCTAGAGTCGACTGGACTCTATAACGCGTGGCGAAGTCGATTCTAAAAAGTGGGAAAGAAAACCCGGAGGACGCGGAGAAATATCCACGCGACGACGGGGAGAGATGCTACCCTCGAGCGAGCGTGGACCAGGGCGGTCACTTGGAAGAGGAGAAATCATCTCAGGAGGTAGTTCTGCGGTGACCACTTTCCGCGACACATTCTCTCGAATAAAAGCGATGCAAATCAGGATAAAAAAAGTGGGTATAAAATACATTTCACGTTTTAATGAACACCCGTAGGCCACCCTGCTGTGCTTCACACGCGGCGAGCCGCTCCCCATCTCAGCTCACATTTTAAAAGGGGGCACCCCCTGGCGGCAGCTGTCCCTGTGCATCAGTCTGCCATTAGGGGACGATAATCCCCGATGCTGACACCAACCCCATCAACACCCGGCCCTGACCCCAACCCCGACACCGCCCAGCGCTGAACCCAACCAGCCCTGACCCACAACTGCAGCCCCAACTCGTGAGAATGCAGGTGCTGGTAACGGACACTGCTCTTTACACTGATGATGCTGCTGCTTCTGCTGGTAACAACACTGCTCTTTACACTGATGATGCTGCTACTGCTGCTGGTAACAACACTGCTCTTTACACTGATGATGCTGCTACTGCTGCTGGTAACAACACTGCTCTTTACACTGATGATGCCAGTCTTACCGCTGACGCTTGCTTCTGCCGTTGCTGCTAATAATACTGCTGCTACGGATGCTGCTGCTGGTTATTATGATGTTTCTGATGCCGAGCTTCTGCAGCAGCTGCTGCTGCTGATTGTGTTAGCACCACTGCTGCTCTTGCTGTGAACAGTGCTGCTGCTAAAGCTGCAAATGGATGCTACTGCTGCAGTGAAGACTGCTGCTGATGACACCGATCATGCCGTCGCTGCTTTGACTGACGCTGCTATTGCTACTGCTGCTGCTGCAGTTCACACTTTCTCATGATTGACTTCTGCGGTTTTTGATGCTGCTGCTGCTGCCGCAGTCACTCATGCGGCCGCCGACGATGCTGACGATTTTGCGGAACGACAGAGGGAGGAGGGAGGGTGGTGTGCGAGAGAGTGAGGCCACACGAGCAG